GAGCTGCAGCCGGCAGACCCTCCAGAGCGTGCCCCGGCCGCTGCCGCCCACCGTTGCCCCGCTGGACCTCAGCCACAACGCCCTCGCCCAGCTCGGCGACCGCTGGCTGGCCGCCCTGCCGCACCTCGAGGACCTCCACATCGGCCACAACCGGATCGCAGACCTTTCTCCGGGGGCTTTCCACAACGCCTCCCGCCTGCGGCACCTCGACCTCTCCTCCAACCGCTTGCGTGCCGTCGAGACGCACTACTTCGAGGCGCTGGTGAGCCTGGAGGAGCTGCTGCTCTACAACAACCGCATTGCACGCGTGGACGAAAATGCCTTCGCCAGACTGAGCAGTCTGCGGAAAGTCTACCTGAGCTGGAACAACCTGACCACCTTCCCCTTCCACGGCGTGCGAGGGCTGGGCAGCTACAGCCTTCACACGCTGGACCTCTCCTCCAACAGCCTGAGCAGCATCCCTGTGGAGGAGCTGGATGCTCTTCCCGAAAACATCAGGAACGGCTTGTACCTGCACAACAACCCCATCACCTGCAGCTGCAAGCTCTACCTGATGCTCCAGCGCTGGAAGCAGCGAGGTTTCAGCTCCGTGAAGGATTTCTTCGAGGAACACACCTGCAAGGTGTCCGACAACGTGCCCCGCTCCCTGATCAAGTTCCTCAAATACAGCCACATGTTTGAGAACTGCCCGCCGGGCCCTGAAGATGTGCACCCGGTGCCCTTCCCTGCGATGGTGGGCCAGACCCTCCTGCTCGCCTGCAACACCAGCCCGCCGGCCACCACCACCACCTACATGTGGATCTCCCCTCACCACGAGCCCATCAAACACCCGGGGAACAGCAACCGCTCTCTGGAGGTCTACCGCAACGGCAGCCTGAAGATCGCCGTGGCCAAGCCCTGGCACTCGGGAGTCTATGTGGGCTTGGCAATCGACAGCCCCCGCAATTTCAGCAGGCTGTGCGAAGTCAACGTGACGGTCCACTACCCCAAGCCGGATGCGGAGACCTTCAGCACTGGGCTCACGACCCTGCTGGGGTGCATCGTGAGCCTGCTGCTCGTGCTCGTCTACTTGTACCTCACGCCCTGCCGCTGCCTGAGCTGCTGCAAGAAGCTGCCTCCTCTCAGCCCGCCGCAGGAGTGCAGTGCCCAGTCCTCCATCCTCAGCACCACCCCCCCTGCCACCGACGGGCCGAACCGCAAGGTCAGCGCCAGCAAGCACGTGGTCTTCCTCGAGCCCGTCAGGGAGACGCAGAATGGCAAGATCCGCCTGGCCCTCGGCGAGGACTTCCCCGACACCAAGCACCCCAAGGTCCTGCAGCTGAAGTCGGACACGGAGTCCATCAGCTCCGTCTTTTCGGACACCCCCATTGTGTCGTAGCGGGGCAGAGCTGGGGCCTCTGGAGAGCCGCTCTCCTCCGTCGCTGCTAGAAGCAGGATTATTGGGTGCCCCGAATTCCCGGCTTGACCGCAACCCACGAGGGTGATCGGCATCACCCACAAATCCTTCAGCCATGAGCTCCTGGTGGGTTTTGGCTCCAGGGGAACATTGGTGCCTGGCGGGAGCTCCGTGCTTAAGATGCTGGCAATGGCCTCATTAGCACAAGGGTAAC